GGTGAAATTTTCTGGCTTTTTTCACTGTCTAACATCTAAATAGGAGCACGTTTATCATAGAAAGTCTTCGCAGGAGGTACCCCTTTGCAGAGTGCCCAGAAATTGTAGAAATGTGCTATTATATAAACATACCCATCAGCATTAAGTAGATATGGATCGATCGAATAGTATAATTAATCAATCGCATCACTTTCCTCGTGCTTTTTATCGTCATCAGGATCGCAGGATTGATAGAATAAGGCAGCTCAATACGAGGAGGATCGCCTGTTGTAAGGGCTTTCTATTGTAATCTTGTTTCTATTTGAGTGTCAGCTAGGTAAAGAAAAATGCCATGTTTGTGAGGCTTGAACTCACTACCAAGTACCAGTAATCGGTGACTTATTCATTGGTGATGATGGTGGTAATGCGCGCATCACCACCATCACTTCTAAGAATGATTTTAAAGCATCAAATTAATACGAGACGATAAAATTTCACTTGTTTCTAGTGATTACTTTTCCCATTTGTGCAGCCACACATCATTCTCTAAGAAGACAATATTGGAAAAGTAGTGTACTTTCAATTATGCAGCACTCGTTGTTTAATCTTCCAAGTTTTATAGCTGAAATATTACAAACGAGCAAACAATTTATCCAGAAGAAGATGACGATAAATTCAGGTTTTTACTGCGTGAAGGCATTTTAGTTTAGCTGCAGACAAAAGAAATTACTCGAGAGTGTCTGCAGTTATTGTCGTTTTCTTCTTTAGTAAGAGCGAATAAAAGTTATGACTCCCTCCGTTATCGTTAGATAAGTTTTCTACTTCGTCTAGCTGTAGAAAATAACTAAATAAATAAATAAGTGACGTTAAATAAGTTACGTCACCCATGAAGAAAGCCGCTATTTGTCATTACGCTTCCATTTCTCTTAACTGTACCAACTAAATTGAGAATTAATGCCAAAATTTAATTCGAAATTTCGTAGTTTACAATAAAGAAACCTTGCCTAGTATCGCGTATCGTCAGCTTGCTTAGCGATAAATTAACTTCTAAAATAAACCAACCAACAAAATCCTCTCAGGATGGCGAAAAAAGTCTCTCATCCTCCCAGAAGCTTTCACTTTGTTCATCATCCTCTCAGAAGCTTTCACTTTGTTCATCATCCTCTCAGAAGCTTTCACTTGATTCATCATCCTCTCAGAAGCTTTCACTTGATTCATCATCCTCTCAGAAGCTTTCACTTTGTTCATCATCCTCTCAGAAGCTTTCACTTGATTCATCATCCTCTCAGAAGCTTTCACTTTGTCCATCATCCTCTCGGAAGCTTTCACTTTGTTCATCATCCTCTCAGAAGCTATCACTTAATTCATCGTTTTGAGAAGAATTTTCTAAGCAAACTTTCATCTTTTCTGAAGAAGAAGGCATTTTGAAGTGGCAGAAACCGCAGCGATTGCTGGTCTGTGGCTCCAAATCATCCCTAGATTCGATGATAAGTCGAGTGGAGTATGGCCACGAGTTTCCTGCTGGATAAATTAATGGAGTGGATTATATAAAGTATCTAGTGTTTTCTTCGAGTGACGGCAAATACTGAAGAGATTCTGAAAGCCTTTCGATACTCGAAATGGTGGGATGGAAGTAGGAAGGAAGAGAAAAGTACTTTTTTTTGAAAGAAGGGGTGAAGATCTGAGGTTCTCGACTGTCGACGTAAGAGAAAAATTAAAGGAGTAGAGGAGGTCAGAGTAGACAAATGTCGAGGAAGGAGTAAGAGCGAGCCGAACAGAGAATTACAATCGACCTAGAACGGTGCTGCGACAGTTGCAACTCGATCCATCAATCCAAACCAATGGAGAAGCTTTCTTCATCAATAAAGGTCGCAAAAGGTGCTTTCTTTACGTCTTAGTATAACGCCCGACGAGTCCATTTTGAGTTTATACACCCCTCGAACCAATCAACAAACTTAAAATTTCCGCGAGGCAAGGCACTTTCGTGTGACGATATTGTAACTACGACTGTTAACTAATTATGACGTCATTCGCAGTTTTGTTTGTAGAGAAACAAAGTTAAAATTAAAATCATTTTAATTCCGGTAGTTTCAGGAAAATTATCCTTCGCTGTAAAGTGCACGTTTCTTTCTTTGTTTGGGATTGAAATTACCTGTGTGATGTATTCTTCTCGTACCTCAAATTATTTAAGAGAATAGATGGAATTCTCCACTTTAATCGTATTGTTTTATCATTTTAAAGAAGCGTGCAGTTAGTGTATAAAAGTGAGAAAACTTTTGTAATGAGAATTGTAGAAAAATGCTAGAAGCTGGAATGAGCGAAGGCGCCAGAAATAATCTGAGAAAATGATTAATTAACGTGACAACTTGCATATCCCGTTGCGTGACGATTTATAGCACACTAAGAGATTAGTAAACGACGACTGCCAAATCTTATGCCATGTATTTTTTTAAAATATATTGTTGTTTCTTCACATATTCGTTTTCTATCCCTCGTCTGAATAGGTGTCTTGTTAAATTGTAACTCAGTGGGTGTCTAGAACGAACCATTTAACGTGTGCTAGACTATATCATTCTCCCAGCATCACTTCACTCGAGCATCACTGCTCTCGCGTATCTTTTCTCTCGGGTATCACTGTTCTTGAATTCAATTCTCTCCAGCATCACTACTCTTGCGTATCACTTCTTACCAGTGCATCAATTCTCTCTGGCATCATTATTTTCGAGCATAACGTCTTTTGCTCATCACCTTTTACGAGTATCACTGCTCGCATACATCACTTCTCTCGAGCATCACTTCTCTCTGACATCACTACTTTCGAGCATCACGCAAAAAGGTACGAATTTATTCAACTTTCAGTTGTTAATATGAGTTTATTTAAACATTTTTATTATATTATTGTTTAAAAAAAAACAGTTATTAAAAACAAAATCTGATAGAAATCGCCCTTATGTTTTTGTTTAATCATTAATAACTCAAACGTTTGTGTATTTACCTTGCTTATTATCTGATATTGCACGATTATATTTATATGATGCTAATTTTATTAGTTATTCTAAATTAACTGTATTACTCGTAGTGAATTAATTTCGAACACAATGAAGATTAATTAATTAATTAATTAATTACTATAATCAGTGAAGCGTATTAACCATAAGCGGAACATTCTCCAGAATGGATTCTAAGAGTTTGATAACGTTATTTTCGGCGGAAGATACCAAAAAAATGCTTATATTAACACCAATTTCCGAACAAATCTTAAAATATTTCATTGTTCTTCTATGTATTAAAACATTCAATGCCTCTCCACCTCTACTTTTATTTACAATATTGGATTTTAGGATGCAAATATTGTCTTTCAACTTCGAATTCAATCGCCTTCGAATGCCTTCTTTGTAACTTATAAATATTAAAATTTCAGTAATACAAAGCAATTTTTTTTCTTCGAAGGAACAAGAAAATCCTTCCTTTGTTAAAAAAAAAGTCAAAAAATCCCTTATATAAGGTCAAAAAATGTAGTTTTCTATCCAAAAAAAAAACCAAGATTCTAAGTTCATCTTCCATACACATCCGCATATCAAACGTTTCGATGCTGAGAGAAGAAGCAATTTTAGAATATTTTATTTAAATAATAATAATAATAATAATAATTAAAAATCAGCAAGATGAAAATACAGTCAAATTTGTATTAATGTTATTCAATCACTTAGCCATTTATCTTTAAGATGAGTGATGATTTTTGAATTATTGATTTATGTTAAAGAATTTATGACATTATTCCATTTAAGTTATATAGTAAGTATAATGAACTGAAAATTATAATTCATAAATTTCAATCAACTGTATATATGATGAATGTTACAGAGACACAGTTTAAATACAATCAATTAATAATTCAAACATCTTAACAACCACAAACTTCTGTAACAATTTATGATATATAAATTAACAAAATTTGTTTATCATAAATTGTAACAAATCAAAATTATTGCTAATAAATTTCAATTAGCAATGAAAGATGTATTTGTCAGATATGTAACCAACAAATAATTCAAAAATCTCAATAACTGGCTTGTAGGATAATTTATGACATAGAATTCATTTCAGATTAACAAAATACATGTATAAAGAATCAAAAACTACAGTTCAAGAATTTCAATCAGTATTTGTGTATCTGTGAAACATGATGCATGTTTCACAGATACATAAATGGATATAAACAGAAAAACCTAACAAAACAAACTTATACCCAATCTACAGTATATAACTGATTTCATACAAGTTTATAATCAAAAACACCAAGAAATTAAAAACATTTTGTAATTTAGATTGTTGGAAGTAAAGAAAATATATTGTATGTTAAAAATGTATGTTAAAATTTAACAAAATGAAGCATGTAAATTAAGAAAAAAAAGAAAAAAAAAACAAATTAAACTAAGATATACTTTGATTTTATCTGATTCAGTTTATAAAGATATTATTGATTAATTAATGCATATAGCTGAGGTATAATATAATGTTAATCAGGCAATACTTCAATTGAGATTTATCACGATATAAGCCATTAATTTGAATAATAATTGATTAAATGTCAGCATCTTTGCCTAATCGAGTTTTCATTCAATTGTTTACATTTGTTGAATTATTCTACACAAATCAAGTTATTCCATCAATCAACAAAGTAAAAGCATCTCTAATTTCAACAAAACCCAATTAAATAGGTCATTTTAATGTATTAAAATTTAAAAAAATTAATTGTGTGAATTAGAAAAAAACAAATAAGAAATGTCCAACCTTTATCTAATTTATCAAGATAATCTTAGATTAGTGTGTAGATGTTAAGTTTAGTTCATTTATATGTAAGTATATATGTATAATATACCTAAATTAACTTCTATCTATTATTGCATAAAGATGTGATATGAATATATGATGTAAGGTTAATCAGGCAATAATTCAATCAAGGTTTAATATGATATAAACCGTTGAATCTGTATAATGATTGATTAAATGCCAACATCTTTACCTTATCGCATAGGGTTTTAACTTGATTTTCAGTCAATTGTTTACATTCGTTGAGTTGTTCTATCCACGAATCGAGTTCCTTCAAAACTGTCTTATCTTCCATTATTGCTTATACTAAAACATAAATAATCGAATAATATAGTTTAAAAAGTGTTAAATATTCATCAAATGCAACGATATTAAATATACTTTTTATGCAGAATTTCACTTACTTCCTCATCTATCGAATGACATAAAACCAAAATGGCTCTCAGTAAATTAATAACCAACGACAGCCATTCCGTAATTGGGCCAACTACTCGATAATACTCAAAGATATTTTATAAAACTATCCCTAAATGGCTCTTTTCTACGTCACGTGATTTATATTAGCGAATAGAATCGTGTATAACTAACGTTTTCTCTAATCGTTATTTAAGTAGTCTTCAGAGTAATAATTTTGAGATTANATTTTAAAGCATTTCCAATGTAAAATCTTGATATTCTTTCATGTTAACTTGGTCATAATCGACTCCTTTTCTCTATAAATTTAACGTTACATACTTAAATTACCTCAATAATTTTTGCTTAAAATAATGTAAAATAATTATAAATATGAAGCCATATAATCCCTTCATAATCAGCAAATCGATTATAAAATGCAAAATCTTCGCAAATTTCCATTCGATAAATGCTGCAATCGATATTAGCTCCACCACACTCAATATAGGGCCTATAAATGCTCGCTCACGTGGTACGAGAGCGGTATTTGTATTTACGACTCACACACGAACATGTTTCACGAAACAAAAGGCAAACACAACGCTTTGTTTCCCCCCAAAAATGCTATTATTGGCGTTAAAACGACGTTCCATCATCCGATAACCAGAAAAAAAATAAGAAAAATAAAGACAACTGCTTTATGGAAGGTGTTAAAGGAAAATACTTCAAAAGTATTTTATAAGAAAACAAAAGAAAATGTCCAAAACACTACAAAAAAATCAAATTTTGTGTTCTGTCATATGGAAAACAACACAAAGAATCCTTTCTGAGGGGGGAAAAAAGGATAAGAAGCAACAGAGAATCTCCTCCTGCGAATCTCGATAGAGAGATGCAACAATTTTAAAGAAGTATCGATTTTTCTATTCATACAAAAGGCCCACTATTCGAGAAAGGATCGACCTCGAATGATGCTTGTTACTAAAAACATCGTCTTTTCTGATGCCGGTATTAAAATTTTGGCATCAAAACTTAGCTAGAAATCATATATCTAGCGCTAAAAAAACATTTAAAAACTTCTCTCACGCGCGACCGAGTAAATAAAGCTACAAAACGTCGAGGTCCCTCACCAACGTGGAGTTTTCTGGGTTATCTTCACATAAAAAGAGGCCAGTTTTTCTTAGAGAGGTCCTTCCGAGTGGCATCTCCCCTTTTCAAAATCTGCTGTGTGGTGTTATCTCATTAATCTTAATCTATAAAACCACTGAATACTTGTCGTGGGTTCGTGCTTTAACAATGTGGAGTTTTTTAGACTTTCTTCACGTGTCTAACACATAAATAGGATCCAGTTTCCAGTAGAAAGTCCTCTTTGAAAATAGCCCATCTTTTTTGTCTTACCCCATGAATTTTAATTCATAAAATCACCAAATATCGGTCGTGGGTTCGTTCCTCATCAACATAGAGTTTTCTTCATATTTAACATCTAAATAAGGGTCAGTTGTTCATAGAAAGTCTCCCCCCCCCTTTGGCAGACCGCCCATACGTTTTGTTGCCTTATCCCATAAACCCAAATTCATAAAGCCACTAAACACTGGTCACGGGTTCGCACCTGAAAACTTAGACGTTCTCCATTTCCTAACACCTAAATAGGGACCAGTTTACCATGGAAAAATTCCTCTTGAGTGGCATCCATCTTGCCAGATTGCTTATGCCTTATCCATCATCAACCACCCAACCATCTTGAAAAATTTCAAATAAAAAAAATATTTTAAAAAAATAGAAAGAATTTAACACCTACAATTAAAAAAAACACACACACCACGAATAAACTTTTGTTAAAAAATAAAATAAAATTTAAAACTTTGAAAGCACTTACGTATGCAAATTTCGAAAGTGGATCATCTCTTTTTAATTTTCTTCATTGAGCCAACTAAAAATAACCCTCCTCTCCTGTGTTTTTTGATGATTAATTTGATTGAGGAGTGAGATTTTATAAAACTAAATTTAATAATTTATCCTCCCCCCACTCTCTTTTTTCTTCTACTTTACATAAATACTTTAAATATCATTTCTTCTTTCATTTTCGAAGCCATTATCAAATTTCCAACGAAAAAAACCAATACTTTTTTTAAGAAAATGGCCTTTAAAAACATTGGCGGTCCTTCGCAATTTATTTCGTTTGATACGTAAAATATATTTTTAAAAATCGTGGTTAGCTTAACGGCAATTGGTTGATTTCATAAATATAGGCGGTTCTTTATTATATACGTAAGATGAACTTTAAAATGATTAGTTTAATGATTATTGGTTGGTGTTAGGTAAATAGGCTAATATATTTCAATTGAGTTAATTTGAATACAATTACGTCATTAAAACGTATTTGGTGTTGTATTTTATGACGAAATACAATAATTTTATGCAAATGAGATTGAATTGATGAGGCATCACAATACTTAGGGGATCATTCTGTGTAGAAGTTAAACACGTAAATTTCACGTGGCCAGCATGTTGGTAAGGCTCGAACTCGCGACCAACTATCTGTGTTACCCATTTGGCCGATTTTGGGTTCATTTTATGGAAACATAACGGGTGTAGGAATTAAATTACCTCTATTTAACCATCCACATTTGGTATTGCGATATTTTATATAATGCGGAACACATTTCCGTAAAAAAAATAGTAACAAAACTCACCACTGTGGCACTTTTGGCACTGCAAGCAACAATCATTTTATTTGTATGTAAACCTTAACTACTCGGCGAATACCGATTTGTTCCCCCATTCTAAAAGTGTAAAACTCGAAGGTGATGAACAGTGTGCTCATCAGCTTCAGTGAGCACGCATTACACTGCGTGTGAGAAGCACCACATGCTCACATGCAACACATCCTCGCAAACTTACAGCGCCAAAGTTGCCACAGTGGCAAGTTTTGATACTAATATTCTTTTTGTGGAAATGTCTTCTTCGTGTCCCGAAATGTCACCATACCGGATTTATTTGCCCCGGACCCGCTAAATATCTCTCTAGACACGGTTAAATAAGGGGTATTATGATAAATTGTTTGAGCACTTTTAATGGTTCCTGTCTTTATGAATGTTTTCTTTGCTAGTAAACGCCAGTTTTCTTTATCTGAAGGAACAGATAAAGTAGAAGATATAGGACCACTATCCAAATCTTGCCGTATATCTCATTTAATCTGTACTCGACTGATATGCGTTTACGTATCGATTGGGCTTAAGTATAGCTCATGATGACTACTCGATAAACACGGGTACTAATAACAGTTAGAAGGGGTTATTAACAAGAATTCTACTGACCTTAATCTATACTCGATATCTACTAAATTATTTATTAATGGTGGCAACTCTAGATACAAAATAGAAGAGAAACTAAAAGTAACTAAAATAATCTCTAGAGATTACACAGAAAAACGAGAGTTATTAATGAAGTATATTTAAGCGATACAGCAATGCTCCGCCCCTTTTCTGCATCTCTAACCAATCGACGTTAAGCAAATTAACTAGTTTTATAGCGTGATATCCGATATGTACAACAGGGAACGTGCTATGTATATTTGTACGTATTTTTTTTCGACTTTAAGTATTTTAATGTTTTAAAAATATAATCTATATTTCGTACTTATTGACCTTTTTGATTACTTAGTAGAAAATAAATAAATTAACAATATAAAAAGTTATGCTTAAAAATGTCTACTTTTTGTTATGAGGGAAATAATAATATTTAAACGTAAAATAAGGACATGTACGACATTTCTAAGAATAAAAAATCGAATGTATACTATAATAAACAATATATATCAAATAAAATCATTTCTAAAAATAAATTATTGATTGAATTTAAGTTTATTGTATATTTAAAAATCTAGGAAAAAATGTGGCACAGATTTGTTTTCAAATAAAAAATTTATTATGCAAATTAATTGTAAATTACAAGAGAATACTATATTAGATTAATCAATAATTTTACATATATTTATGAATTTTTACATACAAAATCGGATAAACAACGCAAAGCGTGGAAAATCTGAAGGACTTCTGTGGGAAACTGGCCCCTATTTAGGTGTTAGGCATGTGTAAAAAATCCTGAAAACAAATCCAGGCGAATCCACGACAAGCTTAGTGGCACGTTATCCTAAGGGCAAAATGTTGCAATTGCTGGTAGCCCCACCAACAGGGGACCCCGAATCAATCTTATATAAACTCATTACTGTAATAAGAATATCGAAATTTAAACTTGGGCCATATCTGAAGACCCTAGATTGCTGGTACGGCGCAGCAGAGTGCATTATACAGTCCAGTGGTCGCGTTAAAAAACGAACGAGGATGGCACATTGTACAGGGGGACCTCTAATTCAAAATTGTCTGGGCCCCCATGAATTTATAACGCGCCACTGGACAAGCGAATAGTATTCTCTGGTTTTACCTGTGGTGGGTCGAGCGGTAACAGGACTCTTTTAATCATGCTCATAGTGGGTTATCATGATGAGGGGTGAGGGGAAGGGTCAGAATTTATTTTCCAGTATAAAAAACATTTACTGTTCACTGGAGTCACCACTGGAGGCAAGCTTCAAATTGATGATAAAACTTGGAAAAATTGAAATTAATTCCTTAATTTCCTAATTTTTTATTATTTTTATTTGTTCCCATTTTTGTTTATATTAATATTATTGTATTTATAATAATAAAAAAAACTTCAGGAAAAATTATAATTAATTTTTTAACAGATCAAAGACATCTTCGCGTTTCGCAAATTTAAGTAAAGTTTACATTTTGCAGGAATTGCGAGTTTCTATTTTAAAATTCTACTTTTATTTAATACATTTATCTAATTTACTTCATCCTTAATGAAATTTCTTAGTGTTTTTTAGCGATATCGAGCATTAAATAAGTATTTTTGTGAAGTCCTTTTTTTGAGTCAGAAGTATCCTCCATTGGACTATTGGATTTCTATTCCTATTTCGCGTTTAAATAGTTTATAGGCATCTTTTCTCTGGCTTTACAACTCGAAAGTAATTTTTAGTTTAATTTTCACGAGGAATTTTATGTTTTTTCTTGGTTACTTTGCGGCCGTTTAAAGTGGGTAACGAGGCCATTCATCTTGTTTAGAACCAATCTCGTCGAGAATCACGTACTCTTCCGATAGAAGACAATATTGGTTATGTTGAAAGAAAGACTCGTAAATGACT